CTTTAGACTGGCACTCAGGACCGCTGACCGCCGCAATTTACACCAGGAAAACAAACCCAGGGGAGTTCTCCCAGATCATGTAAACACGTGTACACAACCTCAGTTTTATTGATTCTAATGTAGAAGTATTCCCCCCATGGGTGTTTCATAGAACAAAAGGAATTGGAAAAAAATTCTGAACACAGAAAAGCATGCCTGAAAATATATCAGATATAGTGGGACAGTTCAGAGAAATACCACCACCACCTAATTAAACTTTAGACCAAATATTTCTCCAACATCTTTGTCAAATGAAGATAAAAGTGAGGGTGTACTGAATTTTAGATCCTGACCCCTTTCCCCCACCCTACTCCTGCCCCCCACCAAAAAAAAAAAAAAAAAAAAAATCAAATGACTGTCCAGCTAAGTTTCTTTCTACTTCTGCAGCATGGTAATCACTCTAGTGTGACAGTAAGCACTGCTACCAGTGAGAGGATACCAGTACATTTTATGTTTGCTTCTAGCCAGGTTCTTCAGATCACTTAACAGCACATTAGCAGACATATCAATAACAGTTTCCATGACACAAAAAGGGCAATCTTTAGTGATGTTGTCTTTATGACAAATAGCTCCTGCATAGTCCCAAAGAAGAATGCACTGCATTTTAAAACATGCCTACATCTATGCAAACCATGAAGTAGGTGCAATAAAAGATATCACTCACAAAAATCCTTCACTCTATTTTAGTCATCAGTTTATCCATGCTTACAACAGACTCAGACTCTCAGTGCAAGATAAGTGACCTAGAATAGGGGTGGGCAATTATTTCAGTTGGAGAGCCACTTAATGAGTTTTGGTGAGCTGTTGAGGACCAAAAGGGTAGCCCTGACAGATGACCTGCCCCCTGGTCACCGTCACGGGACTCAAAGTCCCACCCCTGACTTTTGCCACCAGAAGTCTCTCCCCTTTCCCCCAGAAGTACTCCTTCAAGGGGAGAGGGAAGGTTCCCATCCTGGAACAAGAAAAAAACCAAATCAAAAATATTTTTGTCCTGATTTATTTGTTTGCATAGTGTATACATAGGTGATTGCCTAATAACTCAAAAATAAACTCTTACTCTTGTATAGTGTGTGCACGTGTGTGGTGGGAGGGGTCTGTGTGGGGGGGGTTGTGAGGGGAAGTGGCTGCGTATGGGAGGGTGTAGGGTATGTTGTGGGTTGTGTGTATAAGTGAGAGGATTGTGGGGGCAGGGTGTGGGTGTATGGAGTTTGTGGAGTGTAAGGGAGGGTGGGGGGTATGCCCCCCACATTCTCCCATGGTGCACAACCCTGCTGCCAGTGGGCCCTCAGGGTTTTCATGGCCCTTGCAGACACTGCTGCCTGGCAGCACGGGCCCCAGCCAGTTCTGGGAGCCACACATGGCAACAAGGAGAGGAACCAGGCCAGCCCACCTATCACGCAGAGCTCTCCATGACTCATGTGCAGCTCCTGGTATTGTGCACCACCAGGGAGAAGCCCCATCAATGGAGCTAGCTGCCTTCCCCGCTTCCTGCCACCACAAGCCATCTGCTGGGATACCACCAGGAAGTAGGGGCCAAGGCTCCCCACCACTTTTGGTGGAGTCCCAGGAGCTACATGTGGTGGCAGGGAGAGGGGAAGGCAGCAGTTCCATCGTGTGGGACTTCCCCACAGTGGCACGCAAGTGCCGGGAGCTCAAAGTGAGCCGCAGGGAGCCCCATGCAATAGACAGGCTAGCCTGGCTCTGCTCCTTGCTGCCACGTGCAGGTCCCAGAACTGGCTGGAGCTGTGCACTGCACCTGTGTGGGCCATAAGCAACCCAAGGGCCCATAGCCTGCTGCTGTCACCACCAGTGGTGGGACTGTGCACTATGGAGGGGATGTGTAGAGGGGGGGTCCTCTCACCCCCCCCCCACACACACTTATACCTACACCCTGGCCACCCAAGCTCTGTGTTCCTGCCGCCCCACAGGGTGCAGGTCCTGGACTCCATGCTCCTGCCAGCCCCAGCCCCACTCTTCACACTCCCACCCAGCTGCAGCTTCCCCCCTGCCTACTCGCCACCACATCCCTACCTGCTGCCTAGAGCCAGCACTGCAGCAGAGACAGGAGGAGGAGCTGCTGGAGGCCAGGAAGCTGAGCAGGTGCCCTGGCAACTGCAGCAGTGGCAGCAACAGTAGCAGCCCTGCCTACAAAAACTGTGCATGCTGGCCACGCCAGGGCTCTCCCATGCACAAGGGTCAGAGCAGAGCCACAAAGGCTGGGCAGGGTACGATTAATTGATGGGCTCCCATGGGCCAGATGAAATTGCTTAGAGGGCCAGATCTGGCCCTTGGGCTGTATTTTGCCCGCCCATTTCCTAGAAGATGATGGTAAGAAAGAAACTATATGTAATCAGTTGTAATACTGTAAGTACACATTAACTGCTCTGCTTTTCTACAGCAGACATAGATTTTGGCAGAAATACTTTCTAATATAAAGTCTGCTTTTGTCTGCTATAACACTGTCCTCTTAAGTAAAGTAATTCTCGTTATGTAGTCTGTTAGGCTTTCCTACAGAAGTTGTCCTTGCAATGTAAGTGGGAACACCAAATCTTACATACTCTAAGAAGCACCAAGACAGTCACAAGTAGGAACAGGAAAAAAAAAAAACAAAAAAAAAAAAACACAAAACCTAGGAGAATGGGGACCTCGTTTGTTAAAAGAATCTTTTATCTTTCCAGAAAGAATGGACGGTAGACTGGGATCACATTTTCAATTTCTTAAAATCTTCAAGTATTTCCTCATATTCACTAAGAAACAGGTCAATCCATATCCAGAGCTCACTCTCGAGCCCAGAGTTCATTCTTATCCACACCTCACAGTGACTAGTCCACCTCCACCTGTCAGGCCCTTCTTTGCAGATGCACAAGAAGTAAAACACTGACTGAAAGTCTGAACTGTATGAATATAGCTGCAGGAAATCTAGCAATCCTTTTTCAAAAGTGGACACAATGGAAGTTCGGGGTTTTGATTCTGATCCTCCAAGTATTGGAAGTAATAAAAAAAGATGTAAAATTACATTTATAGACATGCGATTGGAAGATATATTTTGAAAAGAAATGATAAGCATAGTAACAGGCCTTATACATAAACTTCAGATGAACTCCTCAGTGTAAGGTCTGAAACACTACTTCCCTCTTTCACTTAAACTCTGTGCCTAAAGCTGAGAACACATGCCTAAACGTGAACTTCTCAACTCTAAAACAGTCCCAGTTTAAAATAACTACCAGGCAACTGAATGCCATTATTATAAAATGTGGTATGCTTTATAGTGAGGGACTAAAGAGAAAAAACAATCATATTTTGATGTGGTAGCTGCTATTAGAATCGTCTGTTCATAAAACTGGGAGATTGTATTTCTTCATACAAGAAATGTGAAATGCCTTTAAAAGTCACCAGACCAGAAAACTGATTTTTATCCAGAGTACTGTTATTTAGGGTTTGGGGGGCTTTTTGTTTGTTTGTTTTTTAAAATCAAGCTCTGAAATCCCTCATATGCTGCAGTTTTCTGTATGAATTAGAAGTTGTATATACATTTGCAGTGTCTAAAATTGAAATCTTTAGACTTAAATCTATATAGATAATGAATACAAGAGGTGAAAAAAAAAAAATCAATGGCAAAATTCTCACATACTTTAGTGGTGCCATGTTTTTAGCCAAGGTGTGTAAACTCTGCGTAGCCATTTATACTAATTTATTCCTTAGTCCAGGGAAGAAATAAAAGCAGAGGAGCTGTTCAGTGAGAACCTACACATGCTTGGTACATTTACCAGAAAGTATGGAAGATACTAAATAGTTACCTTAAAGTATTTGTTGGCATGATCACAACCCAGTTGCAGATATTTTGAATCCACTCTTTGCAGGTAGCTTGGTAGTGCTGTTTCAGGTGCTCCATTGATGATTTTTAGCATGTGAATAGGCATAGCTGCTTTATCTAGATTATATTAAAGACAAAGACATCAATTAATAATATGGCACTAGCTTGTTCATTTAGGAACTATAAGAACTTGCCGCAAATGCTTAGGAGGGCAAGCCTGTTCCATTAAAACCTTTCAAAGGGATTGGCCTCAAATGCCTTAGTGCTATTAGCAGGATGAGAAGTATATCAGGTCTGCACTTGCCTTAAGCTAAGATCTCAAGTCAAACCAATTTACTTCCCAAGCATTTCATCATATTTTTCACATTCATATTAAACTTCTTTAACAAAATCCTGCTCTGCTTATACATAATACTTAAAAGCATATAATTAAAGAAGTGATCATTGTGAATGTCCCTGTCTATAAAATGCATTTTAAATATGAATAATAGACTCTGAAACACAAAGCCAAAGAAGAAACAACCAACAATCCTGAAGGCCAAAAAAGATGTTTCTGCGTCCTTCTAAATAGTTCATTACCATTCAAAATCTACAAGTTTCTATATAAATAAAGACGTGCAATTTGAAAAAAGAGCATCATATACAAACCTCATATGCCTATGCCTAAGTAGATATATTAATGCTGAATATCATGTGATAAAAAGTAAGTTTTAGTTAATATTACTTTATTTCCTCATTACTTGGTCCTTTTGGTCTTTGTTTTAAGCTGTCCACTTAATGAAAAGTTACCTGCCTATGGGCACATCTACACGAGATGCTTCGAGCACAGTACACTAATTCTACTGTGCATAGTGCAGTGGGCAAAACCCATGCTAATGCACAGGAGATGTAATCAACTGCAAATTAATAGTAGATTTAATTTACTGTGCATTAACTTCACAAAAACACTGTTTGCACTAATGCACAGTAGCGCCAATTATGGTGCATTGTTAGTACCTGTCATTACAGGTACTAAACTTAATGCACCATAATTACAGAAAATGAATGCACAGACACACTCTAAATCTTATCCTTTCACTGGTTTCAGGCAAACTAAGCAAATGATTTACATTTTCTAATTGGAAAAAAAAAATCACAACACCCCCTTTGTTTGCATGTTCATACTCAATGTCCTACCTTACAATACAGAGTGCTTCCTCCAATTATATTATACACACACACACACACACACACACACACACACACACACACACACACACACACACACACACACACACACACACACACACACACACACACACACGTACACAGAAAGTTTAAAGAATAAAAAAAAGTTAAACACCTGATTTTCTGCACTTTAGAAAAGAATTACACTTACTCAATAGTAACAGACTATATTTTGATTTCACTTTAGAAGAATGATCAGATTTTATTATTTCAGCCCATCCACATTATCTGTTTCCTACTACTACTTTGAATTCTAGGCATATTGAGCCATTATACAGCATTTATTATTCAACTGCAGAATTGATCAGAAGCTTTCATACTTACTAAGGGAAAAAATGTACATGAAATAGAAAGATGCAGCACACAATAGAGGCAACAAAATAGGAAGAGAAAAACACTTGTATCACAGTGGAGGCACAGCTTCAAATTTATAACATGTTAATTTCATGCTAAAAGATATAAACTGGTAGAGCAGGTCCAGATGAGCATGGACATGTGGTATGCAGCACCATAGACCCATCTTCAGCACCACACATTCCACACATGCAGGTGTTCCCTAAGCTGCAAATTTGCCACTAAGGGTTTTTTTTGACACTGGCAAAAGTCCCCTGCATTTCTTTTATACCATGGGCTTCTTAATCTCAGGCATTATATATGTTAGGCAACTCTGTCCCACGCTCATGCAGCTGAGCTGTAGAAAGGCATGAGGTCCGCAGTTTGCCTTTGGAAAACATTCTACATAACTGGAGACTGAATCCAGCGTGAGAACTCTTTTATACAACAAATATCTGTTACCAACTAGCAAGGAGTGCTTCCCATCAGCTCCGATGGGAAGTCCAGAGAGGAAGACAGGCTACTAGTGCTACCAGTTATTCCATTAACTCAAATAGTAGAGGTGTAAACTTTGGATCTAGGAGATCCAAATCATGCTCAATAAGCCATGTGAAATTCAATAAGATTCTACGCAATAAAAAGTGAATATAGAAATTCTATTTTTAAATGTATACAGGCAATTACATTAAACAGGCACACTAGCGGTACCTGTACACATACCAGATGTCTGCTCTGACACATGCTAATTAGAATAATCGCAGTTAATGAATCGAGGCCGATTAACATGCTCCAGCACCCTCCATGTCACGTGTATGCAGAGTCCCTGTCCTTCAAAATGGTGGCAAGGGTGCTTTAAGTGAAGTTCATTGAACAAGCTTTAGTTCAAGTACCCCTTGCTGCCATTTTGAAGCACGGGATGCTGAATACAGATAATGCTGCAGGTACTTTACTTATAGCAGCTCTTTGAGCTACTCTATGACAACATTGCAGCTCTTTGAGCTACTCTATGACAACATTTTTCATCACGTGATCATTTCTGAGATGCCTATATCCTGATTTTTTCACTGCACTTAGTATTTTTTTTTTTTTTTTTTTTTTTTTTTTTTTTTTT